ATAAACACAATAGGCTAAGTAAACACACGGAAATGTTAAGAGTTTAACACAAAAATTTTAACAAGGACCGATTTTAATACAAATATAAAATGTTTCTCGCTATATATTACAGCTTTCGAACGGTCAATCCTTTTCTAATTGTGCAAGCATTTAAATAACGTTCCGATCGATACGTACTCCAAGTTCTCGAGAAATTCAGTTCCCGAGACAATTATTTTAAATCGCGAAATGCTACGCGGTATGCGATGATCAGAGAGTCCCGAGTATCGTGGATTCCACTGTGTCGATGTAACGCGGCTCTGGAGTCAAACCGCCTGACTTATAATTTAAAGCGATGCGATCTTCACTCCGGGGTTACGCCTCGCGGATACATCGAGTCGCCATTTATCAAAGTAAATCCATAATCCCGACCGCTCACGCGCGCCCAATCTGTGACAAGAACATCCCTGGAAGAGCGGCGGAAAAGAGGACACGAAAAAGCGGCGCGGTGCAGCTGGGGGGTGGAAAGCTCGGATATTGTTTCGCGGACTTTCAGCTTTCGACATGACGCGTCAACATGCCGCCACTGTCCTCCAACATCGATGTAGCCTTTCGGCCCCTCACCCTCATTTTCTCTCTCTCTCTCTCTCTTTCTCCCGCTCTCGGCGCCTTTAAATCTACCGTGCCCCCCCCCCCCTCCTTCGACCCCGTGTAGGAACCGTGCGCGCGCTCTTTCCACCTTCCTCTCTGTTCGCGCCCAGTTTACACCAGCGGTTTAACAGTTAATCCTTCGAGCTTATCTGATCGCGTGACTTCAACGAGAAGTTCGAGCATGCCGGGATACCATCGCGCACCCTCGCAACGCCCGCTCTTTACACGACAGCGCGATAAAATTGCCGTCATTAGAGGGTTGCGCGCGCGCGAGCACGGCCGCGGGGGTAGTAGTTAACTCGCGAATATCTCGGGCGCCGCTTTCTTCCACTTGTTACGTCTTTTTATACGCGTTACGGCGAGCGCGAGGTGAACGATTGAGATCTTCTCTTATGCCGCGCGGCGGAATTTTTTGCGTACTGTCATTGTACCGTCGCCGTTTCTTTCAACGACGCGATTAGCGCTGTCAATTCCGGCCACCCGGGCATTTCTCAATTTAACTGAATATCTGAGTTCAGTTATTTATTCCTTGTTTATACTTCGCGAAATATTTTGTTCTTAAGCATTCAAATTAAGCGTCCAAATAATTTAGCGTCAAGATTGTCAAGGCAAAATATAAAATATCTAGCCAAGTGCTCACTTGTTGTCACCCTTATCTTAGTATTTTTACATATACACGCAGATTGCGCAGACAAATATATTTATGTCGGGGAGAATACACACATATGAAATGATTCTATAAAACAGATCTTTTTTACTTTTTATTCCGATGGTACTTGCGACTTTCGGTAGCCGGGTACAGAAATATCCGGGTTATACCGGCAGCACTAGATGCGATTAGATTTTTTGTCGCGGTTTGGCGAGAGGTTTTTCCCTCTCTCTGTCTCTCTGTCTCCCGTATATGTTTCCCTTCGCTGTCGCGTCCCTTCGACGACAACGTCACGCGGAGATATTCTCCCGCACGCGCAGGGATGCAGATTGCAGGGGCGCGCGTGAATCTGTAATTTTATGCGCGCTTCTCGTCGATAACTCGCTCGGAATTTCACTCCGATCGCGCGCGCTGCGCTGCATTTTCGCAGCGATAGCGCCCCCCGGATACGCGTGCGAAACTCGCGACATGTAATGCCATAACTGATCTTTTATCGGTGAGATAACTTTTAGTGCGCCGACACTAATTATTGCGGCGGGGAATGCCGCCGGGTGTCGCGTTCGTTCTGTTATTTTGATTAGAAATACAACCATTTGTGCGAGCGCACAAAAACATCGCGCGAGCACATAAACACTGCGTATTCACGGTTTTCGTAAAATAATCAGAACTGATGTCACAAACAGGGATAGAGATAAGGGAAGACGCCGATGAGCGCTTTCCTACGTCATGTTGAAACGTCATTGCGGCTACTTAAAATTCGATCTACACCGTATCCGCGGATTAAAAGCGCGAGACCGAATGTAACGGCTCGTATTTGTCACGTTTACTAAGTTCATTATATCAATTTTCTATTGTCACGTATAATCTACGATATACGTCGGGAATGTCGATCGAGTCGGACAGATGTCGTTAAACAATGTCGCAGAAATATCATTTCATTCAGCGTTACGACAAAATTGGGCTGTCACTGTTCCGCAAAACGGATTTTCCGTTTTGCAAGAACTCACGTGACGAATAGTTTCAGAGATCGGCCGAAATATGCCGCTTAATTCGCGTCGCGCCATTTTTCGATGGGCGCTTCTATTTTCCGCGCGCGCGAGACCTCATTTGCTTCGGATTCCACGGGGGCGATTCAATTACCACATCCTCGAGTGCCGCCGATCGCGGCGTCATGGCCGGAAAAATGCGAAAGAATCTGGCGCGTAAAGTAAGTTGATTACACCTTCTCGTCGCTGTGTTATCCGCGAGAGAAGCGCGCGCAGTTCTCAGCTGCACTGGATTTTTCCTCGCGCTATAAAGCGGAAAATTATGTGATGGAATCCGGTAAATAAACTGTGAAAAAATAAGAACGCTTCGGGAAAGTAAGCGGGAAGTTATGGGCGCATTTACGGCTGATGACACCGGGCGAGAACATCGTCGTCGTCGTCGTCGTCGGCTACTGCCGCGTCGTCCGCGGAAATGCACCGTTCTTTTTTTTTTCCCTTTTCATTCGTTTTTCGGCAGTAAAAGTGGCGCCTGCATACGCGTCGTAAACGGATCGTAACGTTCAATCAGCGCGGGGAATTATGAGGCAACACTCATGACGACTTATTGTACGCGCGGCAGCATTATTCGCACTCGCATGAGATCGCGCGTCGTCGCTGCTTCCGGAACTTTTTTTAGTCGCTCCAATTATGCGCACTTCAGTTTTCGCGCACGACTGCACGTGATATAAATCTGAAATTTCGAAAAGCACTGGGACCGCTTCTCGCGAGATGTGATTATATATAGTGGCGAATTGTAATTATATATAGATGTAATGTCACGTTGTATAATTCGAAAAATTCAGATTCAAATCTGGATTCAAAGTTGAGGACCTCTCGTGAAACGAGCTTCAAGTAACGACTATTAATACGCGGGCCGTAATAGTTATCGATTGACGAGTGATGCTTGTTTCTTTCGAGATAATGTTGCGATATCTCGCGCCTCGTCGTGTTGTTATCGGCACGTGAAATGGGACGTGTGTGAGATACTAGAACGGCGGCTTTTAAACGCGGGAAGAATGTTAAAGGTGGGGCCATCCTGGAAAGAGAGGGCGGGACTGTAATCATGTTTTAACCGATATCGTAAAGACATTTTAAAGATTACTGACTCAGGTATTTCATGGACGTACCGGCGCGGTCGGTGGTGGTATTTCGCGGACACACAATGGGGAAGCGAATTCCATAAATATTATACAGAAAGTACAATATTATCTGCGCCGTGAAATAACTTACGGTTACGACGGAGACGTGGCTAAGAAACTGCGGAAATTCCGATCTGTCTCCGGGGCACCGGTTTCCAATATCTTAAATAGTAAAACTCGAGAGAGAAAGAGAGGAAACTTAATTTCGCGAATACCGATATCTTTGTAGTGTCGGTGGTGCGGTCTCTTCGGAGATAAATTCCTGAGATTACCGAAACAGCGAGGTAGCGTTAGAAAGGTTATACGCAGCTTCAAATATTCCCTTCCCGGATATACGATTTGCTGTTTTGCGGTAGTTGTACCGCTCTTTTCGCATTCTTTGTTGCACAATCAACGGTTGTGCACAATAGATCAGCGGACCGGGGTGCTGATAAAAATAAAAGAATGCTTCCATCTCCCACCTCGCCCTCTCCACGGACAGTGTACGCGTGCACGTCGTAAAACTTGCTGCATTTCTGTAAAACGATTCGCATCCGCGCCTGTCGAACGGCTATTTTTCGCGACGACGTTTAATTCTATACGTAAACCGGGACCGCTCGCCGTTCTCGCGGCAGCGCGTCGCCACGAGGTGACAAGAAAAATAGCGTCGTGTTGCGTAACGCGCGAGAAAATCGTTGCCGTCGATCGCTCCTGCGAGATTGCGACGTATTAAATCGCGCGTGTAATGGAAACGGCGATGTCGCAGTGATACGCCATACTTTCTCGCCGACCGCGGCGGTAAAGTACACGTGTCTCGTATTCAAGGCTGTTTTAGGGCCTTCGTAAGATCTAACAGCACTCTCGCTTTTAAGAGTCTGAATTTACAGCTGTCGTACGTTAAAACGCGCAAGTACGAAATGCAATTTTGGTTGAGGAAAGAAAGTAATTAAATCGCGTTTAATTCGATATTCGGTTAAGCATTTTACTTTGGAATTTGCAATATTATTGTGAATATTGTTAACACACTAATGGCCACACGATGAAAAATCTTGTGCAAATAACGATGCACTGGAATTTTTGTGTTACTTTAACAAGGTGAATATGTTAAAAAGTACACAAATAAAATGTTAAATTAACGTATTCACCTTGTTAACATAGTACTTTTTAATATCCCCCTTGTTAAAGTAACATAAAAATTTCAGTAAATCGTTATTTAATTTTTTACAGTGCTCTAGTTATGATATATCTTACCTTTTTATTGAATAAAGTCAATTAATACATAATTTCATTTTTCTTCTTAGCACCTAATAATTAATACAGTTGATAATTCAGCATAAAATAGTTCTTTTATATTAACACGAGACTCCTGGGGAATAAACAGACCGACTTTTCAATGAAAACTGTGCAGTAATTATGGCTTTTAATGGGGTTGATATCTCGCGACTGGTTCTTCAGAATATCTCGAATATCTCGGTACCCTCCGGAAGCCCTACCGCGCATAACGAGACTTTACGACGTCCTCGCCGACGATTCACCGTCGCTGAGAGGACGCGCGTTACCCCTCCCCCAAAAACTCACCGTAAAGCCGGATGTTCCCCTCGGCGTCGCCGATGGAGTTCTTCGAGATACACTTGTAGCCACCCAGGTCCTGCTTCTGCAGGTTCATGATCACCAGCCGCATCTGCACGCTGTACACCGACGTCTTCATCTCGGACATCGCGTACTTGCTGTTGGTGATTATCATCTCGCCTGCGGAAACACGTTTGAAGATGTTAGAGATCGCGGCGAGACGGTGCTTACGGGGGGTTGCAAAATGAAGATCGAAAGAGGAGGAACAAAAAATCTCTCGCTCGCGCGGGCATTTCTATCGATCGGAGTTGCTATTTTTCGCGGACGATGAGAAATGCCGAGGCACGCGTAAACCCTCACACTTACTGCGAGCTATTATAAAGTGCTGGAGCGCGCGAACGCGGGTCAACAGGTAAGAGAGGTCTTACTTGCCGCGAGCGGATCGAGCAACAAGAATTACGCTACGTTGTATTACCCGACTCCCGAGTCCAGTAATTAATGGCTTTGGGTGACGCCTCCACGTGGCAAACTAACGTGACGTTGGTTCCAGTCGGGGCCCCGACCAGCTGGTTCGGCACTTGGACCATCGGGTGAACTGTAATCCATAACGTACATTTTCGGTCAGTCACAATGCAACGATCCAGTGTACACCGTCGACTCAGCCATTCGCTGCACGCGCGCGCGAGCGGGCAATTCTCCGCGAATTAATTTCTCTAATTGAACGCCTGATCGCTCGTGCGCGTGCGCGACGTCACAAAGGATGTTTTTTTACATTCGTCTCGCAGACGAAAGCAGTGGTGTGTGTCCTCGGGGTAGGGAAACAACGGTATATATCATATCACTCGCACAATTCAATCGCCTTATTTCGCCGTTACACTGCGGTCCCTTTGTGCGAGTGCGTCATTAGTGAGTCGCGTGCAGCTCACGCTAATGAAACACGCTGACAGACTGTCATTTGACGAGCGAGCAGAAAGGGCGCTTTCTATCTTTCTCTCTCTCTCTCCCTCCCTCTCTTTATCGGCCTCGCCCTCTCTCTTTCTCTCTCTCTCTTGGCAGCATCGCACTGCCTTTCGTTTCGAGTATCGTAAGCAGCTTTTCGTGAGCTGCTTACGTTTTAACAGGCGACCGCGCCGAGCACTTCTTCTTTCGGCCGAAGCTTCGGCCAACGTTGTGTCGTCACAAAGCGCTTACAGTGCGTTTTACAACGGCTACTTAACCCCCACTGTGACGTGAAATTCCGTCTCCGTAGGAACCCCTAGGAAAATCTGCAGCTCATTGAACGGTGCCGCGTTTTTTCCAGAAATATTCCGCGAGCAGGAAATTTCCTCGCGTGTCGTCGACATTATTCTGGTATCTCAATGACGATGCTCTATCGTCTAATTGCCGATTACAAGGGGGAGGGCCCTGTTTCGAGAAAGGGATAAGTACTGTTCGGTCTCGCGGTATTTTCCCAGCTTTACGATATCACGGTAAACTGTAAACGCATCTCTCCCGAAGCGCTCGCGACTCGGCTGTCATTTTTCCAGCCGCTGCTCCAATCTTCCCCCATGCAGAGTCTCGAGAGATGTGTATCGCGACGTAAAAATAATATCGTTTGCATACAAATATGAAATATGTGGACGGGCAATCTGTATTCATGGTGGCGTCTGAAATTTGTCATTACAGTCCTTAACGATTCTGTATCGCCGTCGTTAAAAGATAACGCTCCCTATAAGATGGCCCGTAATGTCAGTAATAAAGATCAGGTCGGCGATACCGGCCGGAATATCGGGTGACGATATTACGTACGTGGTAACGGAAAATTAAGATGATGGCGCCAGATAAACTGGCCGTTTCCTCGGCAGCGGAGTCTTTGGTCGACTCTTTATCTCGCGCGCCACTTGGGAAATATATACGCCTCGTCGCCGCGCTTGTGCACACTGAAGATCGCGGCGGCACTAACAGCGGCACTAGCAGCACCACCGAGGCGGCACTTTTATACGAGGAAAGGGAATACACAGAATGTCGACCACTAGGATCACTATAAGTCAGATGTATCGACACCTTGGAGTAAAAATCCGGCCGGTTTCGATATTCTCCGCATTTCGCGCGGGAGAAACAGATAGAGGGAGAAAGAGAGAGAGAGAGAGAGAGAAGCGTTTTGTTATGCGAGCGACGCCTTCGCCTGGTCAGAAATCCGGATGCGACCGCGACGTTATTAATAATTGCGCGCGCGATTGCGAATAATTGGCAATTATGGCGCACGTCGGCTAGCGTAAAACGCGGACGCGCGGGAAAGAGCGGCGCGAATTATCAAAATGAAACAACCCAACGAACTACGCGCGCGCGCGTTAATTCGGACGCGCGGGCTCTCGACAATTCCGGCCGAACAATTATGTACCGAATTGAATCACGTTTTCGCCCCTAAGCACAACCCGCGCGTTCTATCGCGAGAATTGATTTATGAATCCCTTCTGGCCGCCGCGGCTGCCAGACTGAGTGAAAGCTAGGGAGAGAGAGAGAGAGAAAAAGGGAGAGAGAGGGAGAGAGTTTTAATTGCTTCGATTTACCGGACGTGTCTCGCAAACCCCGTTGCGCGATTTTCCGACGGATTTGCGCCGCGAACTTTCGATCCGCTTCGGAAACCAGCGACACTGATTTCGCGCGAACGAGCGAATACGAGCGCGGAGCACCGCGTATAGTGACGAATATTCGCGCTGGGAATTCTTCGTGTAGCGTTTAGCCGGACGTGGGCGCGGGAGAACGGCGATAGGGCGATGCGTTTGCTCGGATAACAAACAGCGCGAGATCGCTCGACATTACTCCTAATTGTGAACGAGCCCGCGGCCCGAGCTCGGCGAAACGCAAATACGCCGCGACATTTCGGCGTCGGCCACCGCCACCGAGTAATTGCGCGGAATGCAAATCGTCGCTGTGCATTTTGCGCGTCGCCAGTTTATCGATAAACAGGCCGAGCCGTATATATCGAATCGCTTATATTCGCCCGTACAAATACTCGCGCGCCAACGAAGTATACAATTACCTGCGCGGCGCAAGTACGATTCATACTCATTAGATCCTTCAAATCCAAATGCTATACGCGGGGTATCGCGAAACCATCACCTCGCACGCATATATATTTCTCTCTCTCTCTCTCTCTCTCTCTCTCTTTCTCTTCCTTTCTCTCTTTCTCCCTTCTACTATTTTTCTCTTCATTTCTCCCTATTCGATTTTCTGGAATTTCTCTTCAATGAAATTTTGACGGATAGTCGTCTTTTTAACATTTAATATCCCGAGACTGCAGGATCAAATTAAAAGTTTGCCCCGGAGTCTCAAATTCATTTGAGATTTATTGAGAAAACGTCATCTCGGCCGGTCATTCACGGCTCTTAAAGATTTCCGCTAATGCGATAAATCCGCGCGCCCGCGGAATACTGTTCGCGGCATATTTTCAGCTGAGAATTCTCCTCCAAAAATATGGAGCATCTCCATCATATTTACGTATAACGTGTGCAAGTTCACGATGCGGTATCGCCGATAAATATAGCAACGCCCAAAATAAGCTTCTCGAACATCAATCAAATAAAGTTCGCGGATGCGATATCCGCGCCGTAGAATGGATGGCCGATCGATCGCCGCGAAATACTGAAATAGAGCCGACCGCGAGGCACAATCCGGCTTGCAAATAAGTGCGGCGGCGGCCAATTTCTTTCGTCGCCTCCGCTAATTAAACGGAGCGCGCCTCAAAGCGCTTAATGCGGTCTGTGGTGCGAAATTGCGCGCTCGTCGCGCTCATACTCCGCGATCTAATGCGGTGTAACAATTTAATGCACTGTAATAATTTAATGCGGCCGGAATTGCAACGCACGGCTCTCGATAGCGTATCAAATGCCCCCTAGATAGCCAATTTCCATACCGATACGCAACGATTAAGTCAGCCGGCGCTTGCCAAGTAATATTCGGCGTGACAAATTTTCGATGAACTTGCCGCTGAAGTTTATCGAATAAAACTTGTCCGTTTTCTGCGACAGAGAGAGAGAGAGAGAGAGAGCACTCCGATTCGTGCGCGACAACAGAAAAATTGAATTATCCAACGACATCTCTTCGCCAGTCATATCTTCTCGTTGCGCCTTCTGAAATTCAGTGTTTTCTTGGTAGAAATGTTATGCATTTTTTAAACAGCTACTGGACAGTTATATTAACTTCTGTCTAGTAGAGTCTGAGAAGTAAAACTACTTGGGATTTCAATCAAAATGTAACGCTTTTCCTGCAGTTACTGCGTACAAAAGATGCGCAAAATCTGAATCCATTCACTGAACGAAAACGGAACAATATTAATAATGGACAAAAATTACTCAATTGCTTATTAAGCAAGCGTACTGTTCATGAAATGGGCAATTTTTCTTTAGAAGTACCTCTGAATAAAACTCTACCAAGTTCTTGTCCATTTCCTACGCAGTATTGTTACAACTAATGAGAATGCATTGATGTTAAACAGTAACTGGGTAGGTGTCGAGAAAAACCGCATACTTTTCTGCCAGGGTTCTCACGAGTCGCGAAAATTACAAGAATTTACTCCGGACACGAGCGGAAAATCGGCCGACCGACCGACCGACCGACCGACGTCAATTTGAGTGAGGTGCGCGATTACAGGCGGACGGACAAGTAATTACAGGTGCGTAACGACTTTATTCGCGTTTAATTCGTCGTACGAAGTCCGTCAAGCGAACGACTTCTTGGTCGCGCTCACATTATCACGGAAAAAGGCGCCTGCGTCGCGTGCATAATCCTGAGATAGGAGAGTGTCACGGGTGATATTAGGTCTACTTAAGGGCAGCCAATGGCGGCACAGCATAAAGTCAACTTACAAGTGTTAGAAGGGCCTTATTGTGTTTTCCGGGATATAGCAGTCGCGCAAGTTGCTTCCTCGCGCGACCTCGCGAGACGTTGAAAATCTACGGTTTCGCGAGGGTTGGGGCGGGAGAGAGAAAGAGAGAGATTTTCTTCTCTCCCGCCTTCGGTCGCGGAGGAACCAACGCCCTGGTATTCCTGCGGTGATAAGATAACGCTCGATCCTTTTCTATGGCGCTCACATCGTGTACACCCACTCCGACGTAATGGTTCTTTGTTAAGAAGCGGTGTTAAGACCGTGTCGGGAGTCCGACATCTCGGCATCTTTTCTGCGTTCTGTCTCTCTCTCATTTTCTCTTTCTATCTATCTATCTCTTTTCCCCTCTCTCTCTCTCTCTCTCTCTTTCGTTTCTTTCCCGTTAGCGGCCTGTCGCTTCGCACCGGGCGGGTCCTTCCGCCCGTCCTTTCGTGTTTTGTATATAACTGTATTTATCTAACGCGTAATTACGCGTCCGACTTCCGCGGAAAGTTGCGAAACGGGGCGGGAAGTCGTGCGCGAGATGTAACGGAGAAGTTAAAATGTTGGGGCCGAGTTAAAACCGAGCGGACGGCGAGGTATTTAAAGTTTTCGAGTAAAGTTCAGCTTGTCACATCTTGCGATGATTAGATCAAGCTTTGGTCTCCACCACCTTCTTCCCGTTCCCCGCCTCTGTGTACCCTCTGTGGAACGCTTAATCGCGGGTGAACTTTCATTGTGTCGCGTGT